CCGGCAACGTGATCGAGGATGGTGAGTACTCCTTTAACGTATCTTTTGCGCTCGTGTCTAAACATCGACCAGGACACGGTGCTTGGACGACAGGCCAAGTTATTTGCATGCATCCTGTCCTTAGAAAACAAAATCGATACTTTCCGATCAGCTGCACCACCCTACCAATTATCTGACGAGCTTAAAGTATGTGTCAATCCTGTCCCCAGTGTCTCGCAGCTAAACTGCTTTATATAATAGACCAATATCACTAACTATGGCATAGCCGTCTTGCTTTCCGTCAATGTCAGTGCTTATAAGGGCGACATCCCTCGTAACCATGTTCTTGTCCGTATTTTGTCTATTACAGGAATGTTGCAATTAATCTTCCTACAGGATATTCTCAAGAGGTATCGTTTTGATTTGCCAGCGGGCATTGAGCACGATTATGCCAACTGGGAGAAGATATCAACGTTTGTCGGTTATTCACTAACTCAAACCCGTGCCAGAGTGAAGAAATTGGTATGTGTATTAATATTATTCCTCTTTTCAATGGAGCAATGGAGCACTTACGCTTTATTGTTATACAGATTAAAGACAGTATAAAGGCAAATACCAATATATTTTCGCTTGCGCAGATGATTGTTCACTCCACGCCTTGTCGCACGACGATCCAGCTGTGCTCCCGTGTTGCGCTCATGGTAAGTGTCTTCTTGTCCTTTGTCCACAATATTGCCTTCTGAACTGGAGCAATTTTAGCGTGCGGTTCACGCCGAATGCAATGGTGGCGAAAAATTTTGGAATCTGACCGATGCACGCCTTGAATTTATCCGAACAAGAGCAGGATCCTCGGCCTCTAAAACAGCGAGGTGGGCTACCATCCCTTCATTCTTCTTCATTGATAATTAGCTGACATTCTATGCAGGGCATTCAATGAAATCCTGAAGATTGATCGAGCTACATACGGTGCGGCGGAAGAATATGTGATTGGGGATACTGTTCCCGATGAGTGGCAGCAGCGCGTTGATGATGTAGTTGCGGGGATAGATATAGTGTGATAATAACAGGGCATCGATGCGACTTCTTTTGATAAATGCACATTTTGTATGGGCCATTTTTCATGCCGGTCCCAACCTGAGAAACACTGCTCTAATAACCTAACTGACCTTGCTTAAGACAGGTGCCGAGGGCTTGAAATGTTGTAGGATTTTTGTGTTTAACAAATTGTTGAACCCCTCTGCAATAATAACTGACGGTGATTCAGGAGAGTCAGTCCTTGCTGGGTTGAATGATTAGCTACCGCCTTGTGAGTCGGCATGGCTGAAGTGCAATTTGTAACTGCAAACAATGGGCTGGAAATTGTAGCGAATGTTCGCCTTTACAGTGCATCGCACACGCCCCAGTACCAATCTGGACAACACATTCATACGGGCCAGTAGCTGAGCTGTTGAAACATATCACAAAAGCACAGTTGAGCAGACCTGAGACACAATTATAATAATGTAGATGATTTCATTTACGACGGGTAATTGAGGGCGGGAAATTGAAGCGAACGTTCGCCTTTACTGTATGTCGGATGGGGCCCAGTACCAATCTGGACAACACATTCATACGGGCCAGTAGCTGAGCTGTTGAAACATATCGCAAAAGCACAGTTGAGCGGACCTGAGACATGATTCTAATAATGTAAACGATTTCATTTACGACGGGTAATTGAGGGGGGGAAATTGGAGTGAATGTTTGCTTTTACTTTGGATCACACGGCGCCAACTACAAATGCGAACGACGCGTTCATACAGGCAAGGAGTTGATCTATCGAAAAGTATCGCAAAAACACATCAAAAAACATGCCGGTAGAGTAAACAATTTCATGGTATGAGACCAAATTAGATGGTGGTAGAAACAAGCCGAGGAAGATGGACAGCACATTGTTACAGGCAACCGTCTAAGCTACCAAAATTCATGAACGGCTTATCAGATTACAAGTGCTACCCACATTAAATGTAGTCACGGTGTCCAAATCCCAGAGTCAAACTGTCCACAATATTCCGCCCACGTCGACGCAACATTCCAAAAATACCTCAACTCCGTGAGAATTTCACGCTGCTAACGCGTTTCGCGGAAATGGCGGTGTAATGGGCGCCAAATCAGTCTTTGTGCGGAAGAAACTCCCGACGCGACAGTAGCGGCTGCCCTCACCTAATTTAATCCTTCTGGGATGGAGATTCCAACTCACGCTGACTGACCATGTTTACCTTATTCCTCTTGCTTTTAATGTATACTATGTACCATATGTCCATTGCATGTATTTCAATCCTTCGATTTCGATGTTTGTCATGCAGCTGTCGATGCCACCTGGCTCCAGAGTCAACGTGTTTATAGATCTGCTATTTGACCATACGAATCGATTCTCTCTGTTATTCTGCCACTACATTCTCGTGGATTCTCCCCGTCATCGCCGAACGCGTGCCAGCCTCCATGCGTAACGTCCCAACTGAACTCCTCGCCGACACGATTTCTCTAATGGAGGATGGCTTGATCTCTCTGACGATGGCGTGTGTGTATCCCGATAATGTCTACATAACTGAACGTCTCTCTATGGCAGAACTGAGAGAGGCGGAGAAGATAGTATACGACTCCTTCGAGATCATCCGGCAGTTTTCATTGTTTTTCCCAGCGTCCCCCGACGTTGAGTGCTGTTTAGAAGCGGTTGAAATGTAAGCTCGTATTATCCTCCCTTCCCAATCGCTATTAACGTATCTGTACAGCATCGAGGAATACCTGCCTTCGCTGGGCTTGGATATGCCGCTCGTCGAGCGTATGCACTTGCCAGATCTGAATCTTCGATTTCAAAACTGTAGGCCGGATACTTGTGAGATGATTGAGATGGGGCGAACATTTTTGGTCAGTGCATATGGTGTGCATATTCAGCTGTGATTTATTAATACGGCCAGAATTTTCTGGAAAACAATTTTAACTGGATTAACTGAGGTGAACGCGAAGAAATTGCTAGATGATCGGTTAGAAAAAGAGATGGGACACGAGCGCGCGGCTCTGCAGACTGCTGCTTTAACCTAGGCGCCATATGATGCCCGGAATTTTTGTTTTCGGAGACGATGGTTTACAATATTGGGCATCAATATAGAGGCAGTCCGACATTTGCGACGAATGACATATGGAACAGTATCCGTCATTTTCCACCGACATTCCTATAACGTGATTCCAATAAAATCAAGGCTGCTCAATGATCCATGACGGAGTAAACGGAATCTCTCGCATGGGCGAGTCTTCAAGGATTTCAAATCGAAAGAAATCTTCCATCGCTAGGCGACTCAACTAGTTTCGATGCCATGAAGAAAAGAAAAGAAGATCGGAACCCGCGTAAGTAGATGGGACCACCAGACTGGCCGGATTCTAGGATTTTCCTGACCTTCCCTTGTGGACACTTTCAGGACGCGATACGATTGAAGTCATGAGTCATCCCCGCCATTTCGGCATTCGCCGCGAACACGTTTATCCCGAATTTCCTTTCCGGGAAGATGTGGCACGCAGGCCCATTGTTCGTGCGTTTGTGATGGGCCACAGGCCACAGAAGCAAAGAGGAAAAGGGATTTATACTCCACTCACAGCCAAATTCTTTCTTCAACTACAACCACGACCACCACAATCGTCCGTTGCGCCCTTTGTTCTAAAGCAAGCTCTTTCGCCTCCAACCTTTCAACACCATCCCTTTCACAAACCACCTACATATAGAAGCAGACATGCAGTACAACGCCGCTTCTGCTTCTTCCTCCTCTTCCACCGCCGCTGTCCTCGGTGCCACTCGTCGCAACCGGAGTCCCAGCATCGACGTCGATGGGTTCAAGGACCCAAAACTTCCTCTCGCTGGACCAAGCCGCCAGCCGATTACCAGTTACAACTTCACAAAGAGCCCAGGTTCGCTCTCATTAACGAAGGTAAGCTCCTCTGTACTCTTATGCTCATTGACGCTGACAATCGGTTGTTCACTTTAGTCCGCGGAACTCGAGGTGGCTCGAGTCTCCGAGAGCCACCGATTCCCCTCGCCCGAGGAGTCAGACAACGAACGCGACGCTTCCGGTGACGAAGAAACCCGCTTTTCTCTCCGCCCCACGCCACAGGCTCACGCACCTTCGCGAGTGGCAAGGTCGGAAGCGCCATCGTCAGCGCCTTCAACACTTCTTCCCATCAACGGCGACATCGAGCGTTTTTACGCTCTCGAATTAGAGCAAGCAGACGAGATCAGGACGCTCGCGAAGGAGGTCCTGTCAGAGGCGTACAAAATCTGCCTCTCGATGCCAGGCGGCCTCGCAGGGCAGTATCGCACAAGGATCGCCGGGCTGTTGGGAGAGGATGTGGAGAGGCAGGTGGTAGAAGACGCGAAAGAGATGAAGGAGACAGGAAAGCTCCACGTGCGGACCCCATTCCGTGACATGGGTAATCTGGGAACAAGGTGTATCCACAGCCATCTGGATCACTCGAGACGACACTGATGATGGACCCACAGAACGACCCATCCTGACGCCAACGTTGGAACGCCCACGAGGGCGAGCATGCCGCCTCCCTCCTTTAGCCTGTCAAGGAAGCGCCTGCGAGAGGAGGAGAGTATCGAGGACATACTCGAAGTGGAAAACTCACTTTCCCTATCGAGGAATCCCTCGATCGCCACCATCTCCTCCAGCGGAGGTTCTCCTGCCACCAAGAGGCTGAGGCTCGACTCCTATCGGGCCACCTTTGACGAAAACGAGGACGACACGATGCTCGGCCTCATTTGGGGCCGATACTTCACAACACCGGAGGCGGATGTAGAGGACGGGGAGTACTCACCAAAGGACGAGGACAAGTGCGACGACGAGAGCGATTCCAGCAGCGACATGGAGTCCCAGCAGGAAGACTTCTCCATCGTCGCTCTCGCACGGGGCCTTCCAGATGACATAACGGGCTTCATCGAAGAAACCGCATTGTACGAGGCCGACCGCCTCGCCGACGAAGCTGCGACCAATCGTCCTCCAAGCCCACCCCCTACGAACCAATTCCCCATCCACTCTTTCGGCACCGCCGCCGAACGCCCACCAGTTCCCGCTCCTCGTCCCGTACCTCAGGTGCCTCGTCGTCTCCAGCGCTCGAACGAGCGCATCATGATCAACGAGGATGGCTCCGTGGAAGCCTTCGACTACACCACTACCGACGAGTATGCAGCCCGCGTGGCCTGGGAGAGGACATCTGCTCGTTCTGCACGGTCGGTTGGACAATCGGAGCGGGCCCTGCGACCTGGCCGCCGACCTACGTGAAATCACCCAGGTGGGGCCGGGTGGGGAGTTGTTGGACTGCCATAGATGGCGGTATAGATTCGACGAGCAGGCGTGGAAGGACTTCGAGGTGCCGTCGTAGGCTGGCCTGAAGTCAGAGGGGGAAGGCTTGGCTTGGGAAGGCGTTCGTCGATAGAGTAGGGTCAGAAAGGTTATCTGATCTCTGATCGATCTGATCCCTTTGTTCTCATTACTTTCTTTATCTTATCTTGCTCTTGTTATCTCATCATTTCGGACTTGTATTTTTATTGCGCATCGTCTCGCTTTCCATCTTCGCATACCCTATTTATTGGTTCTGAATATCATCTGCGCCTGGTGATCTTGCTTTTCTCATACACGGCGGAGTGAAATATATTCAAATCACTGACCGACAAAGAAGAGTGAACAGAAGAAGAGTAGTACCTAAATTTGCAACTTGGACGAGAGTTTGAGAGACCTATGAGCCGTTTGTTTCTCTCTCTTTCTGAGCCCATGGATTGATCTCCCCGAGAAATTGAGGCCTCGTGTATTCTTACTACTAATTCAAAGGTATTGCAGGACTTCTCACATCAGATCGACGGCAGATGGAAACCAAAAGAGTGTTTAAAATTATGCCAGTATTTAGGTATCATACGTTGGAAAGAGAGTTCGACTACGTTTATGGTCCAGGAAACTGACGAGCCCCACTCAGACCTTCCATCCACCGGCAAGACCCATAACATTCGCGGGATCAACTCTCCTCTTCACTGCCCTCATTGTAGGGATGTTCGCTCCATAGACTTTGTTGATCGGGGTATCGAAAATCGCGTTGTTCGGGTACAAAGGCGCGTCCGCGGCGCCCCTCTGTCCTTCTGCAACTGCGGCATCGACGATGACCTTGGTGCTCACGCGTGCGGCGTTGTAGAATTCCTCGTCGTAGGTAGAGTTGAGCCACGCGTAGTAGATGTTGAAGGGAAGGAAGGGGATACTGCGCGTTGGTGGGAAGGCAGTTTGCTGGGTGTTATGAGAGTAGATAGAGCGGAGGAAGGGCTCGACGGCGTAGGTGGTGATGATGCCAGTCTTGGCGCTCAACTGCTGGCCCCAGTACTATAGTTCGAACATTCAGTAACTGGTGGGCAAGCGAGGGGATGTAAATATCCACCTGAGTCTCGTTAATGACGACGTCAACCAAGCTCCTCGTAGTATCAAGAACGGAGAAGGCGTTGAAGATTCCACTAGTATACAGTCGTCGGCCCGAATATGCATTTATGTCAGATTTCAACTTACCGGAAACCGTACGAAGCACCGGTGGGTGTGGACTGGACAAGATCGGCAAACGGACGCGTATTGACGTTACTTCCGTGGTTGGGAATGGCGAGGAAGCGATCGAACATGCCGGCAGGCTGAGTGGGTCCGTCGTAGAAGAGGAAGGCTGTCATATGCAGCTAATTATGCAATTAATGTCAGAGGTAAAAGTTCCAGAGATAATATACTCACCTCGCCCTGAGCGTAAGTGTAGGTGGTCATGACCTGTGCTTTAGGATCTGTCGCGGTTGCGTCCCATTCGACCGTGGCATCCGTGACCTCGTCAATCTGGTCTGCGGCGACTTGTATGGGGCCGCCCTGGTGAACATTAAGCGTCGGGCATTGACGCAGAAAAGCAATTGAAGTCTCTTACCCAGACTTCAGGCTGAGGGTGGGTCTTGAGAGTGAACTTTGTGACGATTCCCTATCAACCGTGTCGTCATTCGAAAGTCCGGGAAGATTGGGAGAACCACGAACGAAGTTATTGAATCCTCCCTGAACGTAACGACGCAGACTCTCAGACCCATTCCATCCTCTAAACTTTCAAGACATACCTTCAAGCCCATGAAGAGCTGGGGATCCGACTCGTGCGTGACCTTAACCACCTTCCCATCAGGCCTGACGAGCTCGAAAGCGACGAGCGTATCGACCGTCAATCCGAATTGGTTTGTCTTCCACGAGTAACCTCCAAAGGATTTAAATTCTCCTCTTGACCATTCAATGTCAAGAACTCACCGCCGCCCAACGTAAACCCAGCCACTCCGACACCAGGGACGCGTCCGCCAACGATGTTCACGCCGTGAGGCGCGAGCGCGTCGTAGACGTTGTCCCATATCAGACCAGTTCCAATGTCTGCGGTCTGAGCGTCGGCGTCGTAGGTGACATTATTGAAGCGGTACATGGAGATATGGACTCCCGTGGTCGACGCAAACTTGGGGTTGGGTGAGTGTCCGGCGCCTTTCACCTAGAGAAGACGAATTAAAGCAGTTAAATTCAGTATAAGTGAAGGCACCTTACAGCGAAAGGCGTACGCGTGCCGCCAATGATACGGAGCTGGAGAAAAAGAACGCGTTAGTGTTGAAGCCAGTGCACCACCTCGAAACCTAACTTACGACCATACCAACGTCGGCTGCAGTCCCTGGTTCAACAACGCACTTCGAGACTTGATCGGCAGTTGTGGCCCAGTGAGCGACGCCCTTGTTGTAGAGCGCATCGCCTGTCAGAAGCAACGAACGGGGTGTTAGTACCGCGTCTTCCCCGCCACCATGAACGAGATAGCGCACCTGGATAATACACATTGCTAGCAGAGGAGATTGCTCTTTCTATCCATTCGCAAATGGGATCTTGGGCGCGTGCTGCCAGTTGCGCTCCTTGAACGGCAAAAGGAAGGGTGGCGAGCGCTAACGCGACGCTGACAATGGCGTGGTTGAGCATTCGGAATGGGTTGTGAGTGCGAGAGAAAGGAACGAAAGGGTACGTGTAGAGTATGGTCGACCACGAAGTGCTGATACGCGTCCTTATATACCGTCCGAACGTTTAGGTAACTCCGTCGCGACTCGCAAAAGCTTGGAACGGAGGATTGAGGCGGCCTGTCATCAGCGTTTGTCGTTCGGCCCGTTCCGTCCGACTATTCAGGAAAAAGAGGCGTTGATCACCATTCTGGGAGACAGCACGCGTGCGGAAGCCCTTGTGAAGTTAGCATCCTGACTCGAGAACTGTACGCGCGCGAACGTGGTGTTCGAAGGAGCTGTCCAGCTCGCGCTTCGAACTAGATGCCATGCCGTGTCGGGGCCCGAGCTGCACTGCACCAACAAGAGATTACAGTGCGGGGCGAGGGCGCAGTCAGTACGCAGCGGATGAGATTATTTGCAGGCTGAGGGTGTGTTCATGAAAGCAACGGAGCTGCGCCGGATTTGCACCACCAGTCGCGATGTTTGATCGAAAGGATGAGCAGATGACTCTTTCGTGTTCTTTTGTCTCCATCAATTCTGGAGCGTTGGTGATGGTTACACAATGGCGTCTCGCATTCAATTTCCAGAGCACCACGCGTGCCACTCTGCATCCTTACCCTTGCCCTGCCTATCCCTAACCGTACGAGGAAATCGCTAAAAGCTTAAATCATTTATTAAGTCCCCACTAGATTTCATGTGAATAACTTCCTCGAGCTTCCTTGTCATGGGGTCCATCAGCACTCACTATCGGCTCTTATATTCTGCTCATCCCAGTGAGGCTTCTCTTTCTGAGCGGAAAGAAGCGCCAGGATTGAGCTTCAGTCCGCGTAACTGAATCTAGATTACTCGGTGTTTCGCCTCGGACCAGGATCCCGCTGACGTCTAGCAAGGACACGACAAGGAGCTCACGGAGAGGATTATCCATGTAAGCCAGTGAAAGACCTCCGACATATTGGTGAACACCGGAGACCGGGTATATTTGTTCGAAGGCGGATTTCGGTTTACCATCCACGCGCGTCAACGAGAAGTAGGAGTCCCATCCGAAAATCCGAGAGTGCATGGGGCCTATCTCCTCCTGAATATTTTCAACAATCGTCTTCCAGGTCTCGTCTTCCCCAGCAACTTCCCCTACGAGGTAAATCTTGAAAGGAGGCGACGCAAAGGTTATCTTGCTCGCTGCAGGACCGGATGCTGCAATTCCCAATCGAGAACACATCCAGGGAAAGCGGGAGCGAGCCAATTTGGCGTAGCTTCTGGCCCGTGGTGTTTCGCGCAGTTCATGGAGACCGTAGAAAAGCTGAGACATCGCAAGCGGAGAAGAGGCGGGTGGAAACCATTGTTCTCGAGGTCTGACGAGTGGTTGTTCCAAGCGCCGGGTCATTTTCCCCCTCAGATACCTGACCTTCGTGGTGATCGTGAGTTAAAGGAGCGTAAGTAGTAGAGAAGAGGTAAATCTGCAAAAAAAAATCGTTCGAGGGGTGAGGTCAGCCGAAAGGTTCAGGCCGAGGGACTGCGGTGTCGGAAACGCTCCAGGACTCAGAGCTGCAAATATTGTAGTACGCCATTCTTGATCCGTCGACATATCCAGGGAGCGGCAATTGAGAAACTGGGAACGGATTTGGCGAAGAATGCCGCTTCTGCGCTGCCGGAGTTGTGCACTCGCGAAGGGAGGGTTGAGTCGTAAAAGTGACGGATGCTGCATTCGAGGGGGATGGAGAGACACCTTGCAGCGAAAAGACGGAATCCTTCCAACAGATCGTCATATCGCCGGATGACTTTCTCCTCAGAACCGACTTCCTCCAGATATTCGTACCAGAGGTGGCACCATAGATGAGTGTCGTTAATCGCGGTATTTCTCCACATGCTGCAGACCTCGCAAAGTACGAGCGGACTCTCCCACCTAGAGGGTGGATCGTCTCGTTCAACGGGGACTGAGAACTGTAAAATCTTCATCAGCAATTCCAACGGAAGACATCTGATTGGCCTCACAATGGAGGAGGCTATCACAAAATGTCACTCCTTTTCCGCCATTTACTCCTCAGGAAGTACGAGATCCTGACAAGCCGCGTCGACGGTCAGAAGTTGTTCACGGCATTGAACCTGCAGTCGATCGATGTCGGCTTCACACTTGTCACGGAAGCCGAATACCGACTAGGTCATGGTACGAAGACAATATCCTATCGGTATCGCGTTCTTTTTGGGGCTTCAGAGATCTATATCCCAAGTATCAAGACTTGCTACTTACCTTCGCCAGCGGCCTTCCTGTCGCAGATCGAAGGGATGGGTCTTTTTGCAAGTCTTCACGGCCGTTGAATATGGATGATAAGTCGTCCGAATTCCGGGAGTAGCCTCCTCTGTATTAAGTAGCTTAGTGAACACCTTAACGCTCAGCTCACGCAGTGGGTCGGCTAATGCAGCTAGGGATAATCCGAAGATAATCAGCAATAACTTGGATAAGAATGACGTGAATTTCTCACAGTCTGATAAATCAGTTCTTTTGAATTTTAAGCGAAAGATACCAGTTTATCCATGGTACCCAATATTTGGAATGTCGACGTTCGAGGAAAGGAACAAGCTGGTCAGGGAAGTTGCTCCCGATATTATCTTATCTTATCTGTCACGGCAATTCCTGTGCACGAAACCACTCTTCGTCATGCGGAGAAATGGGCGTCAATATCACGGACGTCTCTCCTATACGGGACGGGAGGCCCGTACGGAGTGTCAAGCTGCATTACCTTAGAAGGTAGTCAAAAAACCGGAAAATCCTTGAATTCCAGACACTCAGACACTGTAACTTCTCGCCGCATTAAAGGCAAGTAGCAGAAATACGGAAGATTATTCAAGATGTAAAGATCTCCGACAGCTTCTAAATTCTAGAATCCGGTCAGACTGTACTCTAGTCCGATGAAAGCCCAGAGAACAGCCGCAGGTGGGGTCTTTCTGCTCCTTCTCCTTGCACGTCTCTACCTTCAAGTCTTTTTAATGTCGTCTCAGGATTTTGCTCTTTCTTTCCCCTCAAATTGTGCGCTATTCAACCTGAAACTAGTCGACCATACTCAGAAACGGATTTCGGGTAATCATCTCCCCGTCTGCTTCACGGACTTCGTTTGACATTGAACACGGATCTCATGACAGTGTCTTAAGCGATGAATGAAAGAAAATATTCGAAGGTGCTTCATTTCTCATACGTCTTACACTCAGCGGCAACTGTTGGGCCCTCTCAAGCTATATATACGGCGAAAATCAAATTCGTTGGCCAATCCAGCTCCGAAACACCAGAGACTAAAAATGCGCACCTTCAAGCTGGCTCTCAGCGCGTGCGCCTCATTGCTTCTCGTTGTCGTCTACGCCGAGCCAGGTGTGTGCCTTCGACCGACCACATTTCAACAATTTCTCCATCTAATCCCCGAATTAATTCAGTTTATACGGCGTCGCTCGAGTGCCCAACCTTCTCTTGTGCGGGGTGTCCCGCAGGGTCGTATATAACCCTCAGCACCATCAGTACCGCCTGCCCCTTCTGCGCCTGCGCACCGTACGCCACCACCAAGCCAACCACCCCGAGTTTGACGCCCGCAGCTCCCATTATCACGCCCCACCCGACCACCCCCACTCCACTTCTCGAATGCCCAACGTTCTCTTGTCCAGGATGCCCCACGGGTTCGTACATAACCCTCAGCACCATTGGCACCGCCTGCCCCTTCTGCGCCTGCGCGCCATACGCCACCACCAAGCCCACTACACCGCTCCCAACGCCCAGCCCTCCAATTATAACGACCCACCCTAATCCCACCACTCCGAAGCCACCTCTCGAATGCCCGACCTTCTCCTGCCTCCCATGCCCCGCCGGCTCGCATGCAACCGTCACCGCAACTGCCCCGGTTTGCCCGACTTGCACCTGCGTGCCCAACGCCGTCACCACCACGCCGAAGGATTGCGTCACTTTCAGCTGCGGTGGGTGCCCAACCTCGCAGCGCCCCACGCTCACCTCGAGCGCAGCAACAGCGTGCCCGACGTGCACCTGCGTCTCGCTCACTTCCACGCCGAGCATTCCCGTGAACCCGTACCCGCCTGGGTGCCCCTACTTCAGCTGCTTCTCGTGTCCGACGGGATTGACACAGGCGATCACGAGTGTTAGTGGGACGAGGTGCCCGTTCTGCACCTGTTATGATAGCACGACGATTACGAAGGCGGAGGTAGCAGCCGAGGCAGTGGCTACACCGGTGATTACGGCGCCGCCCGCGTACTATGGGGTGTGAGCGCTTGAACACTGAGGAGTGCAGATTTCGAGTTGACGTTGTCCAGCGCTGTCATCAGCTCGTGCCACATGCAGCAGAAACCTAAATAAAGAAGGACAAGTAAAGTAGCCTGGAGGTTTAGGAACCGAAAATGCATACCTACAGCCAAATACTTTCCCGTGAATCCGTTGATGACGTAGAGACAAGGAGTGGGAGCCAGAAGATTGGGCTCAGGCTATGTATAAGCGGAGTGATCCAGATTGACAAAAACTCTACGAAGTTCGGACTCGCAGGAGTGTGATGGCGCAAAACAAATCTAACGAGAGAACAGAAGAGGAGAGTCGACGAGACCTCTAAACACCCAAAGCCAACGAACAGCCAAATACACTCTTTCATGACACCGTGACAGTGGATGAATAGAAAGAAAGAAATTCCAGACCAGTGCCCACAACATCCTGCAGCGGGTTCAACGGCTACGAGCAGAATGTCTTCGGAAAGACTGCTGAGAGAATTTGAGTAGCGGACATGACTGTGCGCGGAAGGGGGTAAAGGGAGCGGTAAACCCAGGAGGAAGAGGACAACACAAAAATACAAGCCCAAGGCGGAAGACCGTTCTTAGAGTTCACTCGTGCTGTGAACTTCAGATTATCGCAGTTCTTGGCGACGTAAGGGAAACGTGTACGATGCCCAGAATACAAGGAGCGAGAATATGGATGAAGTTTGGCCATTGGGTTGACATACCCACCCCTCCACTCGGTCGTTTCGAACGACGAAGAGTATTAAAGCACATTATCGCGAGCGCTTATCCATTTTTTTGCGAAGATTTCGCGCAGACAAGCCAGAGAACGATGAAAAAACGACGGAAATACATCGCCGAGTCAAAAGGAGCGTCAAAAGGAGCGACTTTAAACCTCGAAGGTGCGCAAGGAGCACGAGAACAAGACGAGAACCTGAACTCACTCTTTGAAATTCTTAAGCAGAGTGAAGGAGAGAGACGTACCATGTCCCAGTAACATGCTCCGGCGTCCCACCTCTACTACCCAATGCATTCGCAGAAATCCCCACTGCGAAATTATTCCAACTTACTGATGGCTTCCACACAAGGCGATATGAGTTTCAGGGTGGCAGCGGGCAATTAGAGTATTGGTGTTGCAGGAGAAGAGCGATGGCATCGGAGAGATTTCAAAATTTCTAGACAGCAGTGAGTGCACAGTGGCTTTACTCACGTGTGACAAAAGTAACTACGATTATATAATAAACACGACCCATACCATTTTAATGTGTAGAATACATAGATACTGAACAGGACTAATCTACTATGCCTTTTCTCGGGGTGATTCAAGCACCTGAATTGAAGTGTGCTTCACATCTTTGGGATGCCCCGCCTTTGATTGGAGCATGTGATTACATAATCACAGTTACTTTTGGCACCCACAAGTATTCGTGGCGATTGAGGGTAGCGTGTGAAAGTCGGTTATTTCGGCTCCTCGATGGCCGGTCGGCGGGAGTCCGAGGCGACAATTCCAATCTAGCCGTGGTTAACTTGGAGTGTGTTTCTGCTCCCAAATGAATTAATGAAGGGCGTAGATCTATGTTCTTCATGGGAGACTTCGAATCGCATACCATCGCCTCGAGCCCTGCAGTGAAAGCTGGGTTATTTTGACCTTCGGTCACCGATCATTATGTCGTTTTGGGCAATGTCACCGCACTGCATACGAAAATAATATGCCATGCAGTGAAACCGCCATTGTACTAGCAGCATCGCCATTAGTGCTTCTCGCTTTCTCCAGCACAGAAATCCCGTCAGCCTCCTGCTTCCATTTCCAAAAGATTGTTCTCGAGTCTTCTATCTGCTACATGGCGATGTATGGGCGCCTAATAGAAGCGAATTATCAAACCGAATACCTGTTCATAACCTGAGTGCATTGCCTCGCTGTGCATGTAATCCATCTCATAAACTACGGGACGTTGGAAGAACCCCCCTCAGCACAATCCTTGCTCTGTAATGCTGCTCGCCCTCTTCTTTCTATTATGTCGCCCATTCAGTCCAGGAGCTGTCGCATTCCCCATTTCAACAGCTTTCCCCCCGCCCTACTCATCCACTCCTGAAGTAGGACAGGGCCCCAGCCCAGCATCCGTCCAGACAAGCGCTCAGCTTTAAGCATCCTCTGGAGCTGCCTAAGCACAATTTTCATATGCACGTGGGTGTCCATACACCCCAACGTTCCCAGCCCTTACGAGTCCCCCTGGATAATCCGTAGGAGACGTTTCAAGCTGATGATCTGGGCGTTCATAGTGCCGGAGTTGTATGTACTCTGGGCGTTGAGGCAGCGAATCTTCGCTCGGAGAATTGCTAGGGAACTCTCAGGTGCGTTTCTTTCGCTACGGCTAGTTCAGTCGGTTTTGCCTCATTCTTGGGCGAATGACAGAGCATGGTTGGACAACAACACACGGGTTTTTCCTCCTTATGGGTGGATTTCACCTCTACGAAGGGATCTACGACGTCGGAGTGCTTTCGAGGAAGCAGTTCGAATCCCTCTTGATGGCTGGCAAGATACATTTTCCATCCTTCACCCGCGAGGACATCCAGGATAAGAGCAAGGCAGACGCGCTTGCGAAAGGTCTGGCTATGCTTCAAACGACGTGGTTCATTGCACAATGTATCGCACGAGCTACACAGAAACTTCCATTGACGGAAATGGAGGTAGTAACTCTTGGACTCGCCGTGCTCAACGTGATAGTGTACATCCTATGGTGGGAGAAACCATTGGACATCCAGAGACCGTTCGCCGTCCACTTCAAGGATGCTCCAGTCCTGGGGACAGAAGATATAGCACGCGCAGAGAGGGGATCATCAATACGCACGGGATCATCAATCGATACCATGCGCACGCCGTGCACGCCAATCTATTTCAAAGCAACTGGCGAAGGGGAATCTGATAAGACTTCAATCGTAGAATCTGTGAGTTTTGGATTATTTTCATTCTCGATGAGACAATATCAATTATTTGTAGGTCGTGAATAGTGCGGTTAGCATGAATAGCTTGACTAGTGCGATTAGCAACCTCCCAGAAGAGGTCAAGAGGACGTGGAAAATCCGCGATATCTACAAGCCAGTTTTCGATCTTTTCGCCTTCATCTGCACTGATATGAAACAATACCGAGTGGCTACATACCACCACGGTGGCGAAATTGGGGACTCCGAAACATTACATCACCCACTCCTAGTTGGAAGTGGAGTAGTTGGGAACGCCTTATCAGGCGCACTTCACTGCATAGCCTGGAATTTTTCGTTCGGGGCCCAGTGGCAGCGGGACATATGGCGTGTTTTGTCACTGATCCTCGTAGTAGGCCCCTTCCTACATCCGGGAATAATTATATTTCGCCTGTGGATGTGGGCTAGGCTGAAGAGCTATTTCCGAATCACATTTTTGGGTGGATTGGGTCGTTTTTTCGGGGTGAAGCTCTTGGATAGGTTGGCATTAGGCTTATTAAAGGTGATTTATCCGACCGCCATGTTAGTGTATATTCTAGCAAGAGTAGGTCTCTTGCTTTTGGCACTTGCTCTGTTGTGCAACCCACCCTCACAGGCGTTGGACGAGATCAAATGGGTTAATTTTATTCCACATTTGTGACGCGCTTCTCCTAGAAATTTATATATTCCTTGCTGCCTGTCGCGTCATGGTTCACACCCGTGAACATGTTGATGGATAAAATGCCTGTAATTATATGTAAGGACAAGGAAAGACGAAACCCCACAGGAACCGTGAATATTTCGTGTCTTCTGTGCCCCCTTCAGCCCACTGGAAGTCACTACGCGCTGTATGTGCTCATGTCATCCAGCTTGCACACTCATATCTTCGTATTTTGTAAGTTACCGTAAGATACTCGCCCAAGATCAGACACGGTTTTCTTATGACTTCAAATCTTCAGGCTGCAATGGCACAGGAATGATCCCCTTCTAGTGGAAAGGGCAGCGAGAACCTGCGCTCTCTGAGGCCTAACTGTAAGCCTGTTAGGATGCGCGAGCGAGAGGGCAATCGGGGATAAATAACCAGGCCGAGAGTGACGAACTAAGTACAAACGGCGCAGCATATGAAGGGAAAATCTAATAATAGAAGGAGAAGCGGCGGCCAGTAGAGACGGCAATAGATAAGGAATGAGAGTCCGGGACTAAGCTAGGCGAGCTCGGGGAGACTGAGTCCGTACGGAATGGAACGAATGGTGTCTGGACACTGGCGAGAGGGGCTGGCGAGGAGGAAATGCAGTGGTGATGGACTGGGATGGCGGTAGAATACGGATCGAGATAGGCGCCAATTCCTTGGCGCCTCATCGTAACAGAGCCAGAACGAAGTTCGATCCATTTTCTTTACCTTTGCCCCTCAGGTCGTGTAAGCAACACTTACACGACAATCCCCCGGAACGTTGTCCTCAACGTCGTGCTCGTTTATCTATTCGTTCGGGGTGTCACTGACACTACGAGTGGGATTTACCCCTATCCGTATGTTTCTCACCCAGGGCCCCTGTCTATTCATTATGTCGGCTACCAAGGAATGGTGGTCAGTGATGCCAACCCTTACCAAGGTTTTCACAATCATCCTGGGCACTCATATTCGTATTTTTCTTACTTAGTTAGATCGTTCGCCTCCCAGTGTCGGCCTCCGAAAGCGAGCTCCTTTCAGTGGCCTGCAATATTTTTCTCCGACAAAAAAGGGGTACGTTGGAACGCATCCCCAATCGTTTTATGTGATCTAGTTGACACGTCAGAATTTTCGGCGCTAAGCTACGTTGAGGATGCCCTTAATGCCACGGCGCATCATTTGCTTGGGGGTGATCTGCTTCGGTACCGAAGCGGGTGATGCTATATCCCTCATAGAGTGGCGCACATTTGCGATTCTCATGTTCCTTCCTCAACAGTTTTTCCGGCGGCACGAATGGCACCGTCGCAGATCCTGGGGAACTCACACACGTATCCTCGACGGCTCCTTTGGCTCGAAGCGCTTTTCCGGGAGACTCGAAAAATAAAATCCTCTTCCTCTTTCACGCCCTTCTCTATTTCAGCCTTTCTTCGTTGTATCATCTCCCTCCCTGACTTAAGAACGTACATGCGTACCTTTCCCTTCGGATTATGGGCGAAAATCGGCATCATTACCGGCCGCCTTCGCTGAGGAACAATTCTCTGGAAATCTGGATGTTCTTCTCGATGTGGGGCCTTTTCCCCCAAAACCCCAGCGCCTCAAATGCTTGGATGGATGCACCCCGCAATTGCGTAGTTGTAGATGGTGTATACCTGAAAAGCACCTCGACGTGGTGCCACGTTAATCCCGCCATCCTTCTTCTCGAAGCCGAGCAAGTAACCGCTGGTGCTTATTGATACCGACGCCTAGGCACGCTGAAAGTTTCTCCTTCCATTCCGCCATTCCGGCGGTTTTCTAATGTCCCACTACTTGCCTCGTCCTCGAGTTCTCGAGACTGTGTCTATACAATTTCTCATTTCACCTCCCGCATTTTGGACCAACCGGCTAGCCACGCCAGAAGCGGAATTCGCAAAATCAGCGGCGCTTATAACTTGGAATTAAATAGAAAATTCATTTTCGTGGTCAGATGCCTCGAACCACCACAGATACTCCAAGCTTTTCGTGGCGCAGGTCGACGATACGCGTGCCTTGGAGGGATGAACCTCGAGGCATTGGAAAATGCAGCAACGACTATGAGATTATAGAGAACTGGTCTTCTGGGCGTTTCCCGGCGAATGTTTGAACGTTGACGTCGAGTACGGACACAAGTGCGAGAGATATGTTTAGGAGAGCCCGCTTCTCGGTGTCCCCAGACTCGAAGGGCTAACCGATCGCGAAATTTTGCCGGGTTCCCGATTCGATGATTATGTCATAGCCTGGTTATCAACGACTTGGTTATCAACGACGAAATTTCAGCCATGCTCTCATGTTTAACACACGCAAGACGACTTTGGAAGTGGAAGAACCTGCACAGCCGATTGAAGTTCTCGTTAACGCATTCCCTCCCAGTGCTCGGGTTGGGGAAATATGGGGTATCTAGGTCAGGCACCCTTTACAATCTGGTCAGTAATGACCAAAACCCCTAACTATTCGACGGATACAGATCCGCCGGGAGGTGCGTTTATATTATCTTTTTGCGGTACCGATTCCTTCACCTTGCGCCCCTCGAACCCTGAGTGGGACTCGCGGTCGTCGGCCAACGGTTCATCGCTCTTCCAGTATATATCCAAAAGTTCTTCTGGATAGCCAAGGCCACCGCCCTTCCTTCCCTTCGTCCTCCTCCCCTCCTCCTCTACCATGGTGTCCCTCACGATCGCGAACACCTTTGGGGCGATTGAACTCGGGTCGTTCGGTGCCGCGTTCCTTTTCGGCATCATCACCCTCCAATGTTACTTCTATTACTCGCAAAACCCGGAGGATTCGAGGCAGCTGAAGGCTATGGTTCGTCTTTCATCCTTTGTTCAAGATGTTCAGGATGCTCACTCTCGTCGTTGCGTTTCAGGTGGCGCTCGTATGGTAAATAAAGCGACATATACACACTATTTTTCGTTTTGACATTCTTCCTCAGGCTTCTTGAGTGCGCGCACACGGGGCTCATGATATGGGAGGTCTATCGTCTTACGATAGTGATGTACGGTCGAGCAAAGGATGTCCACACATACCCCGGTTTCTCGCTGGTTCTCATGATCGGAGGGTTCATCACGACGATCGTTCAGGTGAGTCTTCGTCCAGACTTTGGGAGCTCCAAGTTAAATGTTTCTCGCCAAGTGCTTCTTCGCCTACCGGGTCTGGAAGTTCCTCCCAAAGCCGTACTCTTTCATCGGTCTGGCTTCTGGTCTTGCAGCCTGTTCGCGAGTGGTCTTGAGTACATATGGGGCCGCTGAGGCGGTCATGATGACGTCGTATGCGGAGTTCCTGGTTAAATACCAGAACTACTTGTCCATCGTGTTGGCGCTGGGAGTTGCGATCGACATCGTCAACGCCGCCTCGATGTCGTATTTCCTCATCATCCAGCGCGAGAAGGCGTTCTCAAAGTGAGCTTCCATATCCCTCCAAATCATCATCACACTCAACACCTATGTAGGACGACGAACCTCATCGATCGCCTCGTCGCATATACCATACGTAGGTCCTTCGGTCCAACCCCATGTTCAATGTCTCATTATTGTTCCAGGAACTGGTGTTATAACCTGGTAGGGGTCCCGTCGCTCGACTATCTTCCCGTTCGCCTCTGACGACGTACCCCAGCGTCTCTGCTATTACCGTCCTGGTCCTAGTAAGTAAACATGTTCAGTTTATGTGCTCATTGATCTTATCGGTTGTCTAGTTCCAATCTCTATCCCCCACGCGTGAGTACTACCGCTATCCTCGACGTGCTGTCACACCTGAGAGGCTCATAATTCGGCTTTCTCAGTCATTTCCTTCGGTTTCTACGTCGGTCTCGCGAAGCGTGAGTTCAATTTTCTCCATGTTCTTCCTATTACTCACGGCGAGTAAATAGTATACACGAATTCGCTCCTTTCTGCGTAAGTCCACGTCTTGGTGGCGAAGGTTCGCGACGACTGACCTGCCTTCTTGTCAGTCTCAATGCGAGACGAAGCCTCAAAGAGAACTACTCCATGTCAATCTCCGTCTCTCATCCTAGACTTGCCGGTACGGAAACTTCGACGAGCCGCATCGGACCTGAGGTATGTTCAATGCATGCGCAACCGCCCATACCAAGGTTCTGACGTCCTTCAGTACACGCAGTCGAACCAGGCCATCTCGATAGAGATGAAGACTACGAAGCTCGTCTCCGAAGACCCCGCGGAGGAGAAGGCGTACGACCTAGAATCGAAGAGGCAGCCGCGACGCGATCAGCTTGTCTAAGTGCTAAAGCCATCTAAGTATGTAAAGTTGTACACTGTCTTTCCTTTGGTAGATTTTTTGTTATGGGCCATTCGGTGTATATCCCCTTTGTTGTAGCGTGTCCACTAAGGACCAACTCTACCCTATGTCTTGTAATGGAGTCGATTAGGATTATTAAACCGGCGTTCTGAGACCATGAGTTAATAAGTTAACAAGTTCAGAAACATTGATGAGCTCGGCTATTCCTGGAAGGAAACAAGAACGGTGGCAAACAGAAATTGGGAAACTCGTCGTGGAGGAACTCATATTTGAGTTCCCGAGAGAGCGGCCCGCGGGTCCCAGAACACGTGGTATTGACATGCCAAGTGAGGTTAGTCTGACTCGGTACGTCGCGACTCCGCTCAATTCAAAATTCACACCCTCCTTCATTGAACGACCGCAATACTGCAGAATAAAATCAAGCCACATCAGAACTATGGATCTAGCTCATCAATCTATCGCAGTGCACCTCCACGTACGGAGAATAAACGAGTCGGAGGGATTGACTCGCGAGTTTGATGAAGAGAACCCCTCCTGATTCCGAGGTCGCATGGTGGCAGCTGGAGGTTCTGAACACGAAAAGAATGGAGACGGGATGCTTGGTGCGTGTCACTTTGGCAGGTCATATTCAAACTTACCTTGCCATCCACAGAGTACAAATGGTCCTCGACCGACAAGGAGTCGAAGATTCTCAACACCCGCCAAGAGACGTACGCCGGGAACACACCGATAGTCGTCAGCCCTCATGCTGGTGGATACACAACGAAGGTACGCATAGAGTTGTGCTCAAATGATTACCCCCTCATTGTTGCGCAGAATCGCGATGTCGATGCAATCTTATCGTTATATCTCGGCACCTTGAAAGTCGGCATACAACCCACAGAAGTTGAAACCACTATTGTCAATGGTTTTCGGAGGGCATGTGAAGACGAAATTCGTCAACTTCGAGCTGAACGTCAAGAGAAGCTCCTCACTATACAGTCCCTCTGCCAGGAGCTTGTTTGTCTGGAGGGCCGCACCGCAGAGAGACAGCGGCACATTGTCGCAGCCTCTTCAATCCTGGCCCCGATCCGACGTCTTCCTGTGGAATTGTTGTCAAGGATCTTCCAGTTAACCATCCCGGAGCGAGACACGTTATCCCATCCCTCCGAATCGCCTCTCCTGCTATGCAGAGTATCTAAGGTATGGCGAAACATAGTCATCAACGACCCCACCATGTGGTCTCAAATACTATTTGCCTTTCCGGATGAGGGGGAGTATATGGATGAAGGCGACGAGGAAGAGGAAGACTCGGAGCTCGCCCTCATATACGACAATCGTCTTGAACTCCTGCGTCTTTTCGCCTCCCGGTCGGCTGGTCTTG